AAATTGCGCTTTCGTCACAGTTCTGCAGCACAGCATGCTAGCGTCCTCGAACATGTGTTGCACCGTACAACGAAGGATTTTTCAACAACCGCTGCGAGTACACCTGCTACCTACCATACATACTCATGCACTTGTAAGTATATACATACATTCGTAGGTACATATAAACATTCATTGAAAGTGTGCGGCCTGTTTCGCATATTTTATAGCTTACAGTTTGCAGATTGAATTTTTGCTGGAGGTAAGCGTTGAATGTATTTAAGCTAAAAAGCCATTGAAACTTTGGCCATTAAGCGGTGAAAAAGTAACAAAACAGAAAAAGTATGTACATACTTTTAAAAATAGAAAAATTGTGGAAAATCGAGTGATCGTGTGCGTTGGCGCTAAGATTCGTTGAGGTATTCGGAAAATTTTTTCATTCCTTCTTATCCTAGGCAGGGTGGTATTGCCTTCTTGTGGCAATTTACATACGCATTGAAGACAAATCAATCCTTGGAAAAGAAGTAAAATAGTATAGACATTTTTTCATACATACATACATGTGAATGTGCCTATAATCATATTTATTTGGATAAATGGATAGATGTTTGTTTTAATTTAACTCCCTATATGAACTTCCGAAAGAGCTATTTTAACCGAGATTTTTGCAAAGCTTTATTATTGTGTCTGTTAAACCACTTTTGGTCGCAAATAGCGCTCTGAGGCTCAGAGAAGTCAAAACGTGGAAGGCAACCAATTCCGGACATGCAGCAATACTGAATGAAATGAAAAGGGGCCGGCTAAATGGAATTAAAGCTGACATAGAAGTCAGCCGCTGGTTACATTACGCCTCTTTGGGACTTCAATAAGAAGGTACCCATTAGGTTCCATACAAGAGAAGAATGGGATGCAGGACTACTAGTAGAAGAGGGAGGTATATCCATCTTCACTGACGGTTCAAAGAAGGAAGAAGAAACCGGAGCCGGTATCTACTCGAAGGATCTGCAGATTAACCGGTCCTTTCGCCCACCGAACGACTGCAGTGTTTTCCAAGCGGAGATCTACGCTATAGAGAGGGCGGCTAGTCTTTTACTTAGTAGTAGAGTTCCAGAAGACAAAGCCACAATTTTTGTTGACAGTCAGGCAGCACTGAAGGCAATAGCATCTAGAATAGTGAAATCGGAAATTGTATGAAAATGTCGCAGCACGCTGGCGTCACTGAGCCGTGTTAACGTTACTCTATGCTGGGTTCCCAGACATGGCAATATTGAAGGAAATAAGTCGGCTACTGAGATGGCTAGATGCGGCTCAGAGATGCCAATAGAAGCGGATAGCTTTGTACTTACACCGTTTAGTGATCACGTTAGGAAAATTAATAAGTACACCGTGGCCGTGACGAATGACTTTTGGAACAAACGGGAAGACTGTGAGACCACAAGATTATTATGGCTGCGGCGCAGTAGGAAAAAGACAAGGGACATACTGAAACTCAACCGATCTGCGATAAGAGTCCTTACCGGCGTCATCAGAAGACACTGTGCTATATCACCAATGCTTCAACGGTTGCGAATACTAACGAGTACTCTCTGCTGAGGCTGCCATGATGAGGATGAAGAAGAGTCAATTGACCACTATTTATGTCCAGGTATACAGACGAAGCGCCTCAAGTACTTGGGTTCACGCTTCTTTAACAGTCTGGGCCACAAAGCGGACTGTTGTAATCTCCTCGGCTTCATCAGGGATAGCAATTGGTTCAGTAAAATGATGACTTAAAGCGACTCTTACGATTTAGGTGCTGTCTCCTCCTGAGGCTCACTAAAAGAGGGCACTCACAATGGACAATTCTGTCTCCGAGTGAAAGTATGGATTATTCCACACACGCCCTCCTAACCTAACCTAACCTAAACCACTTACTGTACCAGGTGAAATTAAAGAGGTCAAATACTTTTACTTCCCTTATTTATAACGAGCTGTTGAGAAAGCGGCATAATAAGCATTTGAGCTGCATCGTAGAGCTGGATATTGAGTTAATCAATTAATCGATTCCTCCTTCCGACAACTTTTGAGAGAACACTTGTTGGTATATGCTCATTTTATAATTTTACTTCTACTTATTTGGCTATACAATCGTACGTTTTTTAGAGACGAGACCAAAAACCTTCGCCAACTACTTCTCTCCTCTGCTCCAGTCGTACATCTCCTCTTTCACTTGGTACTTGCATTGCATTCGTCAGTGCAATTTTCTTCGTTGTCCAGCCATGGGTTCTATAAGTCGGAGGATCTTTTCTCTATATCCTCGTTATCCACGTGAACAACGTACCCAAACCAGCGCAATAGTTGTATTCTTATCTTCTTCGGTACCCGTTGCCCACGCCAAGAGGGTCAAAGATCTTGCTTGGAATTGTTCTCTCGAAAGCCTTGTCAAATTTGGTCGTCATCACCCACTTTTATGCTCCATAAAGAAGGTCGGGTATGGTTATAGATTTGTAGAGCGTAATTTTTGTTCGCGAGAAAGCAATCTGCTTTTCAACTGTCTACCGAGCCCAAATTACCGCCCGCTGACAAGGGTTATTCTTCGCGGAACCAGAAGGTACTCTGTTCTGTCTTCGTTCACCGCTAGACCAAGCACTTTCGCAGCTTCTTTTCGTACTATCATTAGCGGTTTTGATGATAAGTACACTGAGATTCCAATTCTCTGGCATGTACTCAACAGACCAAGTTTCACTCAAAAGCTGGTACCAGTTCTTCGCTGCCGCATTTGTGCAGGCTAGCCAACATACCGCCTGCTTCCGAAGTTTGGTTGTTTCTAGACCGCATTATCATTATTGCCTCAACGTCTTGGTCGAGCGGATGGAAATAAGTTTCGTGTGGGTTCTTCGTCATCAAATGGGGCCTTCAGAAGCGTTGAGAAGTTTACCCTCCATATCTGAAGTGATAGCAACGGTATTAAAACCATTTGATTGCTGCCTCATTTTCCATATGCGTTGCACTCTTCGTCACACCAATTATTTCTTCCGCAGTGGTACAAAGTAATTTGGGGATGAAATTTCACTGCTCACTTATATCCAGGCGCGCGTTCTTAATTACGCGGATAAAATCGTTAATAACTTTTTTAACCCAAACCGCGATTATAAAGCAATTGAGAAACCAGTACTATTTAAAAAAATTTTAATAACTTTTACAAAAAAATTTTATGACAAAATAAAAATTGGAAGAAAACGTCATTAGTCTTAACTGTTTATAATATATGAGCAGAATCGGTATTACAAATCGAAAGAAAACAAATAAAAACCTCAGCAATTAGAAAAAATGTAATAGATTGAAAAATTCTGAATTTTGTATTTTTTCATAGTTGGGAACCATTTTCAAATAATTCGCAAAAAAAAAAAACTTCACCTTCGAAAAATGGTGGCCCACTTCACAAATTTTTACTCCGTAAGTTTTGAGCAGCTTTAACCGAATCGTTTATGGCCACTCCCTGGTGAATGGCAGTCAGAAATTTTCCCACATGCGTCAACTTCTGCGCTAGCTAGCTTTCTTGAACTTTAACCCGCAATTAGCAGCATGAAAAATATCATTACACCGCATTGCCTGAACTTGGTTTCCCGCGTAAATAATAAGGCATTTTAAATAATGAACGCCTACAACATACACAAGTATGTAGCTCATATTCTACTTATTTTGATTTTAAACTCCACTCAATCAGCTAACAACATGCAATTTTTTTCTTTTCGAGAGCATATTTTCGGGCACTAGGCCCATTCTAACTGCCCAAGACAGGTATGTAATTAAGAGAATGTTATCCAATAACACCAGAGTAATTATATTGTAAAAAATAAATTTTTAGCTGCATTTTAACATGTCAAGAAAATAAAAAATTGAGAACATCAGCGTTTTTATAAAAAACCGACCAGCGTGACCTTTAAGAAAACTTTTTTTTCAAAATAAAAAAACACGTTTCTCATTTTTTATCACAAATAACAATAATTTGAGGTAGCATTTATGAATTAAAACAAAAACCACTCTAATATATATGTATATATATATGAATATATTCGTGAAAGGTATGGAGCCTTAGGAATAGCCGAAGATACCAAGGTTCATGCTGTTCTGATGTATTTCATAACATGTAAACTTTGCGAATTTGTCGCTAAAAAATCGCACACATTTTATTTAATGAATTTTTAATCCTTTCCCAAGCACTTGGCATAGTTATATGTGTAAACTTTAAGCTTAAGCATTATTCCAAAATGAATGCAATTAGCAAAATACCGAAGTCATGCAACAGAATCTGCGCAATTAAAGATGAACCCCTAAAGAAGCAGATGTATGTATGTACGTTAGCGTTCAACATTGTCACCGCAGTCAAGAAACAAATAATAAATCTGCAACGCAGTGCGCTAAGAGCAGGAAAACTCTTAGAATGCATCCGCGTACAAGAGTACCACGTGCCGGCAAATGGTCGATTGTGTGAGCAGTGGGGTGGTCCCTCGTCAATTTGAAAGTATAATATAATATCCCTCCATGGCGTGGCCACGAGAGTGTTGCAACAATGTAAGTAGTACAAGAAGGCCACACAGCGGCACATATTAGTGGTGGCAAACTATCGATAGTCGGCACCATCGATAGTGAACGATAGTATTTTTTCTCACCATCGATAGTGAACGATAGTATTTTTTCTCACCATCGATAGTGCCGATAGTGTTAGACTTTCAATAGTATCGATTGCGTTCAATAAAAATTAAATGTAGAGTACAAAAAAAAACATTTACAAAAATTTAATTAATCCAAGTATTTTTATTTAAAAAAATTTGCATATCTGCATTTTTTTCTTTTATGCGGCTTCTTTTTTCAGTTATAACTAAACCGGCCTTACTGAAAACTCTTTCCGATTCAGTTGATGTGGCCGGTATACATAAATATTTTGAAGCCAACTTCTTTAAAGGAAAAAAATCATTTTCAATTACCTACAAATAAAAAAAATTCATTATACATATTATTTTTTTTTTTAATTCATAATTTTAGTTTACCTTCCAAAAATCTAAAGGATTTGAATCTTCTGCCGTATTTTCTCTTTCTAAATATTGACGCCTGAGAATGATGGCATCCGCTTTCTTCGACTTTATTTTCTCCGCATTTTTCTTCTCTATAAATGCGAAAAGAGAAACACTTTTTGGTGGTGCATTATTAGTTGAAGATGGCGGTTCATTTTCGAGAAGACTCATAACTTCATTATCTAAGCGAATGGTTGCTTGTTCTGCGTTGCTGCTAGAAATAAATCCTTCACGCTTGAACCGAGGGTCGAGAAGTGACCCCAATCGTGGAGCAGTTCGTGTTTCATATTGAAACATTCGCTTTCTCAGTCCTTCAATTAAGTTTTCGCATAGAGTTATGGCTTCAATTGTTTCTATTTGGCATTTAATTTCATACATCCTTTGATACAGGCCATACACAATGGGTATTATCAAAGACAAGGTGACATTGTTCCCACAGCAAGTTTTTGTAGCTTCATTGAAAGGACGAAGCAGATTTTCTATTTCGCGTACACAATTTTTTTCATCAGCAGAAAGAGGTGGAGGAGCTTTACCTATAGCTAAAAGAACAATAGCGGCAGCATCGTGTAAAGTTAACAATCTCTCTAGCATATTATATGTGCTGTTCCATCTTGTGGGCATATCCTGAATCAATTTCAATGGTGTTGGTGTATTTTGCGCTTCTTTCAATTTTTCAGTCGCAATAGAACTGCATTTGAAAAAGTGTACAATATTTTTACATTTTGTTATAATAGGCTTCAAATATCCATCCTCCGCCTTCAGCATCAAAGCGTCGTGCACAGCGAGATTTAAAGTATGTGCAACGCAAGGTAAGTGTGCAATTTTCAATATATCACATGCGTTTAACATTGATTTTGCGTTGTCAGTAACGATGCAGATAACCTTATTAAAAATGTTCCACTTTTTTAGCACATCAGAAACTGTATTTGCAATGTTTTGTGCATTGTGGTTCAAAACGTCATTTAATTTTTTTGTTTGCAGTACAGCATTCTTCAACACAAACGATTCTTCGATAAAATGACATGTCAATGTTATAAATGCTTCATTTGCGGCAGACGTCCAAAGATCCGTAGTGATTGCCACATGCTCAACTGCATTCAAATGTTCTTGAAGTTTGATTTTTTTTTCGTCATACATATTCTTCACAAAAACATTTTTCAATGTATTTTTGGACGGCAACACATATCTGGGATCCAAGACTTTGACGAAGTTGCGGAAACTAGTATCCTCAACTAGATTAAATGGTTGCATTCCTTCACCAATCAAACTTGCTAGTGCAACGTCAATGTCAGCTTTTCTTTGAGAAGAGCTATCATATTCTATAGCCCTTTTAAAAAAAGAACTCACTGACCGAGAACTTGTGCGACAGCTTGACGAAGTTGTTGAAAACTCATCTTCGTCTTTTTCAATATTTGGATGCATCCTTTTTAAGTGGTCTCTTAAATTTGTAGTGTTGCCACTAGTCTTGTACTCACGAGCACATTTAACACATTTTGCCAGTTTTTTGTCATCCGACTTATTAAAATATTTCCATACCTTTGCAAATATAAAATAGTTAAATGTGTTATATAAGAATTAAGAATTCACTCACTGAAGATATTTTAATACGTGCTTTTTTGCCACCACGTTCTTCTTCGCTTTCCGAAGAACACACGCATTCGACTGCATTTTCTTTTGCTCCTATTAAAAGTAATAAAATCAATCTTCACACGGCTTAATAGATATATTTTCACCAAATAGATTATTACCTTTTCCGTTTATTGTTATAAAATTGTCCATTTTGAAAATTTCTTTTAAGCAAAAATAATATTACAAGTAAAAGTGAAAATAACTAACGCGCCAAACAAAGAATAGTGATGGTAAATTTTCACAGCTGGATAAAGTAAAAAACTTCGATAGTATTTTTTCGATAGTTAAGGACCATCGATAGTAACGATAGTGGTACCCCATCGATACATATTGTGATCGTGAGACATAAACTAATGGTTAGCGAGTTAAGTGTGAGAAAATTGCATTCACTCAAATTCAATTTGAAATTACAAAAAAAAACTTAAATGAAAAATAGTGGGAAAGCCGTTAACCACGGCAAAGGTGACAAGGTATAAAAATACCAAAAAAAAGAAAACTAAAACAACTAAGTTTGTACATATAGATATTTGCGCGCGTGCCAGAGAGAATCAAGTGGACTTACACTTACTGAATTTTTCAGTTTTTTACTTGTATTCTTTAATTTTTTTAACATGAATGTCGCTGCATGTCATACGACCCTTTCATACACTGCTCACTGTCACTATCACAGACACACACAGCCGTCCAGTGTCAGCAATCGTAGCTGTGACAACAGTGATGCTGTAATTAAATTTACGTCATGCCATGTAATTGTTGCATGCAACAAAAGTCACAACACATTCCGTTTACAATGTATAAGAGTTTTGTCCAAACACTTTCGCACACACACGTACTGATATTCACACTCAAATATGCCTTTATGAACACTGCCACTCACAGCTATGGTTTAATGCATGTTTTTATATATATATATATATACATATTTACAAACTGATGCATATATGTACATTAGGGTTATGATTTTTTTTTAAGATTAAAATGCCTGTGGTGGCAAACGATGAACTTTTGTATAAATTTCCAAAAAATAACAACAATTTTGATAAATTATAAAAAAACTCCCGCGCATAGCGGAATTTATTATCAGTTTCTAAGTGGAGAAAATTAATACTCAAACATGTTTTTCTTCTCAAAGGTTTTATTAAAGTAAAATAGATTCGTGGATTTAGTGCTGATACACATCGTTTTTAAATCAAAACTTGGTAGGCAAAAAGGAATTTCGGTCGAATTTTTATACTAGGTATGGGGCTTTGCCATGCAACAGCCTTGTAAATGAAATGATAGTGTGCGCGGGAGGTATTTTCACGAACCAACAAAAATATCGCCAAAAAAGTAATATATGGACAAAAGTTCATTAAATGCAAGCACAGGCAAATCAAAATTTAAGAAAAGTGTAAAAAAATCATAACCCTAATGTACATACATAGGCATTCAAAAAAACATAAATGCATACCTACACACATGTAAGTATGTTTATTTGCTTTTCCAACGTAGTCTCTGCTTTGAAGTTACGTATACGCCAGCGTACTCTCCCCTCGCTTCCTTGCTTCATCGCTTTTGTTTTTCTTGCCATTTGCGTTAACTGCTTCAACTATGTTTTCTGTTCAGATTTAATGAAGTCAGCTGCTCAGGAAAAGTGATAATAATTAAATGAATTTAGCGTAAATTTTGTATAAGAGTAAATAAATGGAATTAAACTGGCCGTCAGGCATTCTAATCTTCTGCTGGTTGAATGTAGGTAGTTACAGACACGTAGTGTTTTGAGTTTAGATCTTTAGTATTTAGTTGAGAAATACCATATATACAAGTAAATTTGTATGTATGTGTGCAAGGCCTTAACGAAAGAAACAAACTTGATAAAGGTATAGTCAACTTGAACTCATATCATAGATTTTTTTTTAATTTTTTTATAAAATTTAGTTGCTTCTCATTAAGAGAAATATGTACAACAACAACAAATATATTAATAAATAAAGATCAAGGAAAATTTTACTAAATTACAGATTTTTTTAAAAAGTGTTGTATTGTTTAATGAATGTAATGATAGATTAAATAAGAAGAATTGCGATGTTCTGCATGTTAAACTCGTATAACTCGAAAAAACCATATTGGTTACCAGTAAAGAAAGCAACAACTTGGTGGAGTTTTAACAAAATGCTGCCATAAAATGTTTTCCTGGTACACTTGACGAAATTTGCCCCACATATGGAAGTCATAAAAATATATATTACCTATACTAAAATAATACTACAACAAGTACAGAAATCTAAGCTTTGGCGATACCGAACTTTACATAAATGACACTTCTAGAGACCTACAAATGCTTAGCTTGTACGTACATATGTGCAGATATACATAAAAATTTGTTATTTTTACGACTTTTAATTGTGAATTATTCTCAGTTCAAACATTTTTTTCAATATAGGGGTATCAGGTGCAAGCTTTCTTCCTGATTGGTTGAAGCAGAAAGCTCCCTTTAATGGTTTAATTTTAGAACAACGCTTACATGCAACGTAAGTTGTTTACGTACACATTTTGTTCAATTAACTGGATGAAGCCATTTAGGGTATTTAACACTTAACGAGTGGTCATATTTTTTCCCCAAAAATTTCGTCATTTTTTGGCTAAACTAGAGGAAATAATAATAACGAGCTTGGTAGGAATTGACAAGGCGGTATTCGTGTATGTTATCACAAGTGGAATATCCCTAAAATTTACAAGGGGCCTTATGAATAAACTTAAACTTAAACTTTCAGACCTTTTACTTAAATTTATTTGAAGAAATGGAGTAAAAAGGCTGAAATTTTAAGAAAAAGAAATTGCTTATGGTGATTTCGATTCTTCCAAAAAATGTTGCCTTTCCCCGGTGCAAAATTTGTTTGAACCCTCTAAAAAGGCATGTTTTTGCCTTCTGTCTTGTCCTTGTCTACCCCACGTGTTTCATAATATTGTCGTTTTAAACAACCAACTGATTTTCAGGGCGACCATCTCCCCTGACAGAGCTTCACAGGGCGGAGAATGTGCATTTTTTGCCTTACAAGAGTGTGACATTTTAAGAACCGAACACAACATTTAATTTATAATCGAATAATCGAAACAGAGAAAGGGGCAATCAAAAGACGACATTTTTCGGCAGAAACAATTTGTTTCAAACAAACGCACCATTAGTTTTTATTCATAAGGCCCAATAATTCTATATTTTCTTAACCGGTTATTGTAAGTAAATATAAGTTTTGAGTCCTCTCTTTGAGGCTTAGCAAGTAAATGCTTCCATTGCCCCGAAAAACTTTTTAGTTGTGAAAACTTGTCTTTTTATTTACTGTTCAACTAAATAAATAGTACTTAATCAATTTTAATATTTTTATTGAGCTTTGTACCACGATTATTTTATTAGGAAAAATGGAAGAAGCAACAAAGTCTAAGCGGTATAAGTTATAGCAGCTATTTCGGATATCACCACATCTCCTCATCAGACTTATTTTTTCTAGACTTCTGCTGGGATCGAACCCGCGTCATCGATGTACAAAGTCAGAAGCGTTAACCACTGAGCTATGCACACCCCGTAAACTCGTGTTGCTAATTCATTTCCCTTATTCAACCTACTGCTATCTAGTGCAGCTGATTTGTCGATATTTAAACTTGACAGCGTGGTTGTTGTTGTCAATTCTATACATGCATTTTGCTTTCTTGTATAGTTTCAGGCAGGCTTTTCCTAAACTATGTATTTGCCAATTTTATTGTGGCTGAAGTCTAGAAAAAATAAGTCTGATGAGGAGATGTGGTGATCTCCAAAAATAGCTATTTAACTTCTACCGCTTAGACTTTGTTGGTTTTTCCATTTTTCCTAATAAAATAATCGTGGTACAAAGCTCAATAAAAATATTAAAATTAAATGTTAATAAGCCACAATAACATTGGCAAGTACTGAATCAATACTTCCTTTTCCATTACATTAAGCGCCAAAAATTCCCACTTAATACGTTTCAGACCCTAGCAATTGCTAGTGTGTTACTAAAAACGAGTTTTTACGCATGGTTCGTAATACGTAGGCTTAGATATTACAAAAACATTAAAATTCAAACTAACGATCAAATGAAATGTACTGCAAAACTAACTACCATGAAGTACTTATACTTGTGAATAAATTTGTGTATTTTGAGAAATACGAAAAACTTCAGAAAGTCTGCCTTAATATGCTTGTCGACGTCGACGTCGATGTAGTTTTTTATCTCAAAAATAGCCCTCATAAGTCCAACTCCAGCTACGCTGACCACAGTATTTTTGCGGAAAGGTGTTCCCCTCAAAAATACTGTGGTCATCGTAGTTGGAGTTGGACTTACGAGGTCTATTTTTTAATGAAAAAACTACATCGACGTCGACGGCGACAACCATAATAGGGCCAATTATATTTTGTAGACAATGAGCCATATATATAATAATATATAATAGCAAAAATTAGTGGCTGCGTTTCCAGATAATCCCATCTCACAGGCATAATAAACAGAATGTGTTTGAAATATATCTTTACATATTGTCAGGAACGTTCTAAAGAATAAGTAGACAAAAAAAAAAGTTCCAACCGTTCAGAATGAATAAAGAAATGCAGTCAGTATCATCCACTGTGGTAGATATAATGATGTTTTCTATGAACAAAATCACGTACTGAAAAACTCCAGAAACTTTATTTGAAGTTTTGCATACGTATGGGAAAATCAAAAAACGGGTAACTTTTGTGTTATTTAACTTTATTTTCATTGTTACAACAAGCTGGTTGCTTTTGGATATAATCCATAGACATATACTTGAAGCCTCACAAAAATGTTTAATCAATTTGTTCCATAACTTTTGACTTGTAGACGTTTTAATTCAATAAAATATTAAAAACAAGTGAATTTTTAATGTAATTTTTAAGAGGTGAAAAAGTAATTATGTCATAACTTTTGAAGCACACCATATACTGCTTTGAAATTTTATTTTCAATTAGTACTTATGTGATAACTTCATATGGGTGTTTCCATGAAAATGTCAACCAGGACTGAAAAAATAAAACAACTGAAAAGGGTTTTTAAGACGAATTAATAAAAGAAAAATACTCGAATTTTTATATTATAGAAGTATTT